TGGTGGAATGTATTTATATATTTCATGTGCTTTTATTGGTGCTAGTAGTTCTAGTGCTGAGATACACTGACTTGCAGGCAAACATCTGCTTTTAACACAACGCCTACGTCTACACTGCAGGCTTTTTGCATAAGAACTGTTTTGCACAAGAGTTCTTGCGCAAAAGTACTTGCGCAAGAGTGCATCCACACTGCTATGTGCTTTTGCTCAAGAGATGTGCTTTTGCGCAAGAGCATCCATGACAGTGTGGATGCTCTCTTAAGCAAGAAAGCTCTGATGGCCATTTTAGCCATAGGAGTTTCTTGCGCAAGAACCTCCTGTTGCCCATCCACACTGCCACAGAGCTGTCTTTTTATTCATTTTATTTTATTTTTAAGCATGGCAAATATATTGATGGTAGATATAAATGTGTATGGATGCATGCATGCTCCCACTGAAATAAGCAGTGTTACATCAGTATAATTTTCGTGTGTATAGGTGAGGTCTAGGTAAAGATACTAAGGAAAGGAATAAGGACAATGGAGGACTTGAGCTACAGCTGAAGGGAAACTAGGAAGTTGTAGGAATAAAACAAAAGTGAGAGCAATCATGACGCTTGAAGTTTTATTGTGGAATTTGAAATCACCCATGACAACCTAATGCAATGGTTTTCAAACTTTTTTTTATCATGACCCAGTTAAAGAAAATTGTTGTTGCCTGTGACCCAACATAATTTGATTAGAGTGTGGGCTCTGTGGTGGGGCTGAGTATAAGAACTTTGGGATGTAGGAGGGAGCTCCAGCTTTAAGGGAGAAGGGTTGGGGCAAGAGGGACTTACCTTGAGCAGCTCCCAGTCAGCAGTGCAGCGGAGGTGCTAAGGTCCGCTTTAGCCTCTCCTGGCCCCCAGACCACTCTGCACTCCAGAAGCAGCCATCAGCAGGTTCTCAGCCAATGGGAGTGCAGAGCTAGTACTTGGGGGAGGGGCAGTGTAGCAGTACTGGGTCATGGAATGTCAGGCACTGGGTCTCATTGCTGCAGGGGGATCAAGTGACCAGCGGGGATGCTAGGACAGGCTACCTGCCTGTCCTGCACCACACACTGCGCTGCACCCCAGAAGCGGCCAGCAGCAGACTCTCTCCCCCGCATCCAACTTAGGAGCCAGGCCTGCTGCTGGCCGCTTCTGGGTTGCGTCTCAGTGTCTGGTGCAGGTGCAGGACAGGCAGATAGCCTGCCTTAGCACCCCCACTGGTCACCCTGCAGCAACAAGACCCAGTGCCTGACATTCCATGACCCAATACCTGTAGTTTAAAAATTACTAACCTAATGGACGAGTGAGAGCCAGGCAACTGCCGGAGGAGCCAAAAGGATAATAGGGGTACATCTTGATTACATGCCTCTGCCGACAGAGGAATGTAAAATAGGCTACCTGACATAGTCAATGAAGGCTTCATTAAAATAGAAATGGCTGCTGTGCTGTGCCGGCTCAGTAGATCGTTGGCACAGTGCACAAGTCAAGACATGGATTGGTCGACAAGAGAAGCCTTTGTCGACTACTCCTGTAAACCTCGTTTCACAAGGCATAAGAGAGCGGACGACAAAGACTTCCCTTGTCGACCGATTGCGTCTTGACTCACGCGCTGTGCCGATGATCAGCTGAGCTGGCACGGCGTGGCAGCCATTTTTATTTTAATGAAGCCGGGGATATTTAAATCCCTGCTTCATTGACTATGTCGGGTAGCCTATTTTACATGCCTTTGTAGAAATTAACGTTGCCTGTCTACACTGGCCTCTTGCGCAAGAGTACTTGCACAAGCGGGCTTATCCCTGAGAGGGAGCGTCAGAGTATTTGCGCAAGAAGCACTGATTTTGTACATTACAACGTCAGTGTTCTTGCGCAAATACTCGCGGCCAGTGTCAGTGTAAGCAGCTGCTTTTGTGCAAAATCTTGCCAATGTAGACACAATCTTACTGTGGGTACTCTTATTTCAGGTGAAGAGCATGGCTTCTTTTGGTTTATCTTAAATAAATCCTTAACATATTTAAAACAAACTAAAATTGTCTACACCAGCAATGGGGAATCAGGAACAGGGAGTGGGCCACATGAGGGGCCCTACCTCACCACACTGGGCTGCAAGAGCCCGCAGCCCACTGGGGTTCCACCTGTAGTCCCACTGCCCCCGTCTGCCCACCTCTCCCTCTTGCGCACTGGGGCACCTGACCATCACACTTTCTACTCATTTCCCTCCCTCCTAGCACTTTCAGAGTACCACAAATCTGCCAATTCATACTCCATCCTGGATCTTCTCCCTCCCTCCTAGATCTGGAACAGTTGCTACTGATTCATGGTGTTCTGGCTTTGAGAGGGAAGAGCAGGGATAGATCACCAATCAGCGGATTTGCAGTGCTCCAGAAGTGCTGGCAGGGAGGGAAAGGAGTAGGGAAGAGGGGGGCTCCAATGCCCCAGTGTCATGTGAAAGAGGGGAGCAGACAGGAGGCCCCCGTGGGCTGCTTGTTGTTCCCCGGCCACAGGTTGCCCATCACTGGACTACACCAGTGTTTCTCACCAGTGGTATGAGTACTCTTAGGGGGACTTGAGAGAAGTCTGGGGGGCATGTCAACACAACTAAAATTTGGAGAAAACTGATTTTTTGTTTTAAGTTTCACAGCACTTTATTATTTTTGTACTTTTTACACCCAAAAATTTCATTGCCTGCCCAGCTAAGATTAAGTTGTTTAAATAAATGTGTTGCAATGGTAGAAAAAAATTGTTCATGTCTGAAAACTGTGGGTACTGGGGTACTTATAATTTTTTTTTAAAAAAGGGGTACTTTATAAAAAAAGGTTGAGAAACTCTGGACTACACAGTCTCTTGCACTTGTTTTAAGTGTTTGCATTTAAAATAACTGTAGGCAGAAACCAGAGATAAACGGGCAGAAACAGAAAATCTTTGGGGGTAGTGCCAGATTTTTCTGAGAACAAGGAGATAAAGGGACAAAGTGATTGAGATTTTGGATGAAAATAAAGCTTCTAAGATCTCAAATAGGTGCTCCAGAGCAGCAGAGATGGGAGAAGAAATGGGAAAACAGGTGTATATTTTGGCCACGTTTATGTTCCTCTTTCCTTTTCAAAGGTAACTTTGCTTAATTTTATTGCAGATAGTTTAACAAACCCACACTCCCTTTCACTGATGTTTGTGTAGTGTTAGCCACGTCAACAGAAGGCCAAATTATATGTGAGGATTTGAAGAGCCCAAGGGGCTATGCACTCAGTCCAAAACATAGGTGAAAACTTAAAAAACATCCCTTGTCTTTGCCTTTTCCCCTCATGCTGTGTGTTTCAATGGAGCTAGAGAAGCACTATATCACTTTGAAATAGCGACTTGGGCATAGGCAGCAAGTTATATGGGCCTATGGTGCCCCAGCACCAAGAATATTCTTGGCCTGGGGCTTAGCCCAGTCCTCTGCATCCCTCAGTGTCCCCCTGATGCCCGTGCATGCCTCAATGCCACATGCTACCCCCAGCCAACTTAAAATGCTCCAGGGGCCTTCCCACTGACACTGGCAGCTCAGCAGAGAACAGCTTCCTGCTGCTCACTCCCTGTAGCACCCAGAAAGAGGAGGTGGTGTCTACGTGAACCCAGGGGGCAGGCACAGGATGCACAGGGGAGCTCATGGAGGCAGGCAGCATTGCTCAGAAAACCCTGCCCACCAGGAGACACTGCCAGAGGGAAGTGTCCCAAGCAAGTCTGGCACTGCCTACACCCTCCCTCCAGAGCCTGCGCCCTCCCCCCAGCCCCTAAACTCCCAGGATACCCATTCCCTGCCCCAGACAAGAGTCAGCACCTCTCCCCAACTCACCCTCTCGAAGCCTGAGGCAGGCGGGGAGAGAGCGTGAGTAAGGGAGCGGTGCAGGCTCTGAGCAGTCTGGGCACCCCCCAAGTTTCTGCAAACCTGCAGGGGCCTGTTTTTCCACAAAGGCGGGAGGAGGGGAACGTGGCTTTAGCAGTGACTGCGGGCAGGGCGGACGGGGCCCGCCTGTGACTCCCGCAGGGGCCCCGAGAC